TCTCTCTCTCTCTCTCTCTCTCTCTCTCTCTCTCTCTCTCTCTCTCTCTCTCTCTCTCTCTCTCTCTCTTCATCCGTCACATCAATAAAACGAGAGATTAATTTAAATCAAACAAAAAATAAAATACAAAATTAGATATAGTTTTTGAAATATAGTACACATGAGAAAAAATTTAATAAATAATAAAAACATAAAAAATAACATTAAAATTATAGCCCAAAGACGGTATTGAGTTTAGGAGAAGAAATTATGCCAAAAAAAACATTTATAAGAAATAAATCTTAACATAAAAACTGTATTCACTAATAGTGTATTAAATCAATCAATTTATGGGTGTCTATGCATATAGTGTACGGCACCGGGAAGTTATTGGGACTGGTATTCACTCGCCAAAGACTTATATGTATAAAAAAAACTTTGTATATAAAACACATTTAACCTGAAAATTGTTCCCAAAAATTTTCATGAGTACAGTATTTATCAATACATATCGGAAACACTGATGTTTTTCATAACCCCTTTTCCCGAGACTGTGTGCACAGAGAAACAGACAGCGCCTGTAATTACCCGATCAGTCGGTGTATGTAATAAAACACATATTTTAAATATATAAAAATACTGTATATTTAATAATAACAGGTATTATCGCATAATATATGCCGGACTGTGAATGCCTACGGACTATACATTTATAGTCCATAACACTAGCGATTGTTTGCGATGAGCTTTACCTGAAAGGTATTTTCTCTCAGTACACAAATCGGGGTAAAAATATTTCTTATATAATGTATTTATAACACGTATAATCAAAAATACTTTTCTCTCCTCATATTTTATACATTATATATACAGCACTCGTATTGTGTATACAATAACTATAATTTTGGTGACAGAGAATTGAATGCAAGAAATTATATTTTTCTCTTGAATTTTATTTATTTTATTATATTTTTTGCATTGATTTCTATTTGAATTGACCTAAAATTTGTTCATAATATTTAAATATTATTTGTTAATAATAGTGTTTGACGTAAACGTACGGTTAGTTTTGGGATCCGATATAAACCAAGAGTTAAGTCAATTGTAAGATTGATATGAAATTACTTGAATTTCTTAAACTAACAAAAAGTAGAGAAAAATTTATCGCTTATGGAGAGAGAGAGAGAGAGAGAGAGAATCTTTGATTTGGAGTACGATTAGATTACATCACAAGTTAACAGCAAAAGAGTTTTTTTGGCAAACATTTCGGTGTTAAACAAGAGCTAAATATTTGAAAGATCTTTAAAATTCATTTGTAATAAAAATGAGTATAATTTAACACTAAAATGTTTCTTTAGGTTCGAGTATTTTGTGGTTAATTGAGACAACATTTTAATTACTTTTTAATTAGTTGAACGTATAGTAAGTACAGTGAAGAGGCATTTAAGGCAATGAGAGCTTACCATTAGCTGCGAGCGCCTGAACTGAAACTGTTTTCTCTTTGGATTGCGTGAAGAAAGTGCCGACTCTTTTGCCACTCATTATCCGATTGATGGCCTGATCTTCGATACCATTGCAGATGACAACAGAGACGCCTCTGTCCAGAGCCCAGGCGGCGGACTTCACTTTAGACTCCATTCCTCCCAATCCTACCCGCGATTTGCCGCCGAAAGTGACGCTTTCCTGATTAGAGGGCACATATGTGTGCAGAAGTCTCGCCCCCTCCTGGTCTGGCGGGAGGGTATAAATGCCGTTCACGTCCGACATGAGTATGAGAGAGTCGGCGCCCACTTCGACGGCTAAATGTGCGGCTAAGCTGTCGTTGTCCTGAATACTGATCACCTTTTAATGCAAACAAAATGACAAACAAATAAATCCTTTTTCTAAGAAATGGATATATTTTTCAAAAAGTAAAGAGAGAAATGTCTGCACAAAAAAAACATTTGAGACACAACTCAGAGAATGGAAAGAGTGTTAGCGGAACAGATATAACAACACCGAAAAACTACTATAGAAAGTAGCCGTATGTTCCGGTGCCGTACTGTACCGGGTTAATTGCGGATAGATTAGGTCGGCCCGAACCCACACCCACCCCGGCTAAGTCGCTGTCCGGCAGCGCTGGCGACACCACCGCGTCGTTGGTGTTTATGATGGGAATGATGTTCAGATTGAGGAGCTCTAAAACAGTGGACCTCAGATTGTATCGACTGATAGGATTGTAGAAATCGGGTTTCGTCACCAAAACCTATGAGCAAACAATGAAAAATACATTTCACTTAAAAGCCATCAAAACATTTGCAATACATTAACAGTTAAACCAATGAATAAACAATGGATTTAAGTGAAGAAAAGTGAAACAAAGTGTTGGCAAAACATATTAAGTATAGAAAAGGGCAGAGAAGGGCACAGACCTGTGCGATGTGTACTCCGTATTGAATAAACATCGCGTCGTAAAGAGCCATAAGACCGCTCTGACCGACGGCTGCGGCGGCTCTGGGATCGGGATTGGCCCTCCGGAACAGCTCTTTAGGTGACAGAGTTTCCCTCATAGACATAGACATTCGCATCTCTGTCCCCAAGCGTTGTTTGCCGAAAGCGACGGCACCGCTGGTCACCATTAAGACGTCTTTGCCCTCATTATGCAGTTGCGAGACCTGTTCGACGATTGAGGCCAACCTTCCCAACGCTAATCCGCACTCATCTTCTCTGGTAATGACAGCCGAACCCAATTTAACAACAATTCTCTGCGCGTTTCGCAAATCATTTCTCGTCTCGAAAGCGTTTCTCAACACATTTCTGTTGGGATTGTCGTCCAATGAGTTAGACTTTAATCCGCTTTCAATCTCTTTGTGCAGGTGGTCCTGAAGGGCTCTCAGCCCTCTTTTACCATTATGTATACGACGGACAGCTTGTGGTCGCAAACCGATCGATGAGTATAACAAAAGTTTGCCGTTTGTGTTACCAATGATTGCGCTTTTTGTGCACAAATTATTTAAACCGTACAATAAATTTGCCATTTCTTCGGTTTATAGACACAAGAATTATATGAGAATATAGAATATTGTATAAAATATTATTATTAAAAATATGAGTCAAACAAATATCAACTTTTATATTTAAAAGTATTGATATAAAAGTTAATATTCTGTCGAAACTGTGCACTCATTTGATGAACACTTGTCTTATAAATAATTGTCTTTTAATAACCACTTCTTATATAACTATTTGTTTTCCAATAAACGCTGCGATGAATTGTCCCCTCACAAGTCAGTTCAGGATATCGTCATTTGACGGCAAACTATTGGATACCATTGAAATAACATAGGAGTAAAAATCAGTGCAAAAAAGCAAATATTAACAAAAACTGATACCAATAACGAGTAAGAAGTGGTTTATTCAAACAACTATCACAATTTGAGAGACACTCAATTTTTTGACGCTTCACTTTATAATCACGAGTATTAATACACAGCACTTGAAATGTAGACTAAAAACAAAGTTTATTACAATTATATTTCACTTTAATATAAATATCATAAGTATTTCCTACTAATGAACACAAAGCCATGAAACTTATAACTGCCTTAAGAATGCCATAAATAATAGAAAAGTGTTCAAAAGTGTTCAAAGATCGATACTTTCCGAGAACTTATTTATCAAATAAACCCATCGTTTTGTTTGACCAAACATTTGATATAAAATCCATTCATTAATTACATATTGCTTACATTTTATTATTATGAATAAATTAATATTATTTTATTTCTTAAATAGACTCTACTGTAAGAAATATCTTATGTAAGATTTCTGATTAACAAAATTACTTATCGTTCATTTTTTTATTGTCTTTATTACATATCACATATACCGATGAAAACATAACTTACAAATTATACTACTAATTGTAATATTTAGTAATATAGTATACATGTATATATTATATATATTATTATATATTATATATATATTACTAATATACTAATTTATACTAATATTTTCCGGTGATATGATATTAAGTCTGAATATACACCAAACAAACATAATACAGAGTATACACTTATAAATTATAACTTATAATGCTAAATCACAAAACTGATCACATACATTTTTACATTGCAATTGGTTTAGTATAAAATAATTTTGTAGAAATGCTTATTAGAAGACAATTAATTTTAATTATAATACATATCATTTTACTCGGAAAGTATCATAATACAAAATTCCAGGTCGTATTTTAAAATTAGTTACTTTGAGAAATGCTAATCAATACAAGCGTCGAGAACTTACTTTTTTCGTATAAAGCATTTTATTTGTAATTAAAACAAAATTAAACAGAAAATTAAGTGTCATAAACGGGTTTAGAATTGAATGACAGATAAAAGTGATCATGATATTACAATGTGAGTTCATTAATATATCTCATATCAATTAATAATAATTATTATTGAATTTATGTCAATATCTATTTCTTACTAAATCTCAGACACAAAATAAAATAAACTTTTTAAAAATATTTGTATATTTTAGTAAATGAATGCATACTTACAAATTGTGTGATAAATTCCCATCAAAATTGTTTGTATTTATCCAATACTTTAGACGAAAAACTTGAAATTAAAGAATCTTTCAAATATTACAACTTTTCTACTTTAAAACTTAATACAAGTTTCAGCTAAAAAATGAAAAACGTGTTCATTTGAGTCCTGTTTTGATACCTGAGAGTCAAGAGTCGTTTGAGACACAGATAACCAAGTGGTCTGAATGAACCATCTAAATTACTAATTAATAATTAGTAATAAAACTGCCCTTATACCAGGGCGTGAATGTAACCCTTGGTTACACCACAAATAGTGTTAATACCGTATCTTCTAATGTAAACTTTTAACTAATTTGTATATTAAGTGAATATACTGTAAGTCAATGTATGGCACAAATCAGTGCCGAGTCTTTAATCACACAAATAATGAAGATTTGGATGTTTTGATGGACTTATTTGATACAATCTATTTGAATAAATAGTCACTTGAGCTCATTTGTGCTATTGTGCACTCACTTGTGAACCATTTCTCTTGGAATGACTTCACATTTCAAGCCATCAATCGATTAACAATATGTATTTTGCTAAATAAAGTTGCTAATTGTTATAGTTATTTATATTAATATTAATTCATAAATATTTAATTTAATCATTATTTTGTATAGTATAATAACTTAGAGTATATAATAAGAAAATGATGATTTAGTAGTCTAATACTGTATTAGCAAATAAGTTTATATGTACTTTGTATCAAAATTCTACTATAATTGTGCTGTACATTGTATATTTTATTAATCTAAATTTATTGCAATACTTCATGTATGACTTGCGAGTTATATGTAGAAAGTTATCATTTTAATGTCATGCTTTGAAACAAACCTGACTTTTATTTTACATTTAGTTTAGTGTTTAGAATTGAAACCCATTTATATGATTGTCGCCCAAAAGTGAAGATCAATGAGAAGTTTAGTTTTAGTGTCCAAACAGAGGGACAGAACCCCAACCCCTCATAAAAGGGTCAGCGAAGGGACAGTGAATGCATAGTGAAGGCATAGTGAGGGCTAAACACAAGTTTAGATATAGTTTGAAAGCACCGGACATTCTTCGCCACTCTCTCCACACCACTGATTGAATACACATTCAATAGTTTTAAACTCATCTCTATTTTAAACTGATTTTGAATAAAACTCTTATTTTAAGCCAAAAGTGTTTGACTTTATGTGTGAATGAATGTGTGATTGTGTGCCAGCATTTGAATTGTGTTTTAATTATAAGTAATTTTAGTTAAATTAGTTAGTACCCAAAAGCCTTACCACTCGGGCCTGACATTAATATTCTGTAGTACAGAATCTGTACTTTAAAAAGACAAATGAATGGTTATTATATTTCATAATTTATGAATTATTTAAAGTAATATTATATTGGTAAAATATTATTGTAAAATTAGAATCAACTATTTTTAAGTGGTAAAATTTGACAATGATGATATAATTAGCATAAGATTATAACTATATTACAAAACTTATTCTACATTTTAAAATCTACATTATTTATACTTATGACTAATTTGAAAATATTAACATGGTAAATGAAGCAACATTATAATTTATAAGAATCAATTGTCATACGACTATTGATTAATTACGAAAATGTCATGAAATGTCATTTCATGTGCTTTAATAGTACCGGTAGTTCTCACTTCAAATACACTGTAAGAGTAGAGAACCAAAGCTCATATTCACGTAATTCAGCACTCGTTATGTCATTAAATATACGGTAAAAATACTTGCGATTATCAGTTCAACGATTCTAATATTACACGCAAACAATACTCTTCTCTTCGCAAACACACAAAAAACTCCACTTTTATTTAATTAAGACTTTTTTGTCAAAACTCATTGAAATAAAACAGATATTTTTAAGTTTACTTTACGCTTGCATTTCAATATAAGAATGCATTTTATTTTCATTAAATATAACCCTTTTTGAGGGAACATTGAATTTTTAAATTAAGAAATCTTATTTTTTATAAGAATAAACGCGATTAAATCAAAATCATAATAATTTAGGTTAACTTATTGAGCCAAAGGCATGTTATGGGTGTTTCAATCACATGTTCAATTTCTCAATCCTTTAAATACTACATTCAATTTTGTAACAAAAACAGCAACATTGAAATCTAGAATTAATACATGATCAAAAATAATGTTCCTGCCCACTATCCCTGGCCAATTTACACATTTCATATTCATGGTTCGGACTCCAAATACTCATTTTGCGAAAACACTTAATGATTATGCAATCGTTTCATTAACTAATAATGAACCCATAGATATGGTACTAAAAATACTAATACTTTTATTAAATGCATTGTTTGAATACATGACTGCACTCATGATCACTAATCTAATCGTATAAATCCAATGCACACACAAACAAAGCACCCGTACTTTCATGAAGACTCAAATACCAATCATTTGTTAATAATTTCTTTTATTATTAATTTTAGACAAAAAACAATTCAAATGATGTCAAAACTGCGGATCAGCTCTAAGACGTCTCCATAGCGACTGATTCTTCTGTATGTTTGCCTTTCATCTTTCCGTCGGCCAATTGTCTGCCTTTAGCTCTTCGCTCGAGGATTCGTTTGCGGTCTTTATCCATCTTCAGCTTAACGATCACCACCTGATCCGTCAAAATAAGACATTCAATAAGTATTTGTCGAAGAGTTAGAAAAGTTCAGATCATATTGTATTACAATCCATACACTGCTCACAATTAACATTAATTTAGCCACAGTTTTGATCGACCTATTAATGCAATCACACATCCATTGAATGACTGCATTAATTATGTGGACAATTGTCTCGCATATAACACACACACGTGTCATATGAGCAGCGAATGGACTGAAGACCTGATCCGACGGGAAGGGGAGGCATACCTTTGAAGGATGAATACCGACGTAAACACTGGCGCCGTTGGCCTTCTCTCGTTGGATGCGCTCGATGTAAATGACATACTTTGCCCGATAGCACTGCACCACTTTGCCCACCTGTTGACCCTTATGGTGACCTCTCACCACCTGATCCAAAGACAGTACACATTAGCAAAACGGGTGTTAAGACAACACGTGTTATGGGCTGTAGACACGACATACCTGGACCTCGTCGTCCTTCCTGATGGGTATAGACCTGACGCCATACTTCTGTCTCAACTCTTTGCTGAGCGGCGAAGACATGATCCGTCGGCGGATATGTGACGGAGCGTTGAAGTGATTCTTCCGGTTCTTCCTTCGGGCAGAAGTCACCAATTTATTCATTTTCGCCATCTCTTCGACCAATTATTTCGTGTCTCAACACGTCTTGGGATCTATTCATCAACAAAACCAAAGTTACCATTAATTCATTGCATCAAAACATGAAAACGTGTTTTGCATTGCATTTTGCAATCGCTTCACAAAAAACCACTCATTTCTGGCAAACGAGGAGTCGTTTGACTCAACGCTCGTCTCAATCGGTGTTAACGTTAAGTAAACATTGATTTTGCGGACAATTAGTGGTAATTATGATTGAATTGCAATTGAAATCAAATCAATACTAAAATACAATACCTTTTGAGTGAATGAAAGACCGAAACCAAAAGGAAACGGAAGTCAATAAATGACGTCCACTTCAACCCATAGACGGCGCTATCAGTCATGCATTCAAACACTGTTTTACCGTTTATTTAATTTAATTACTTTTAATTTATTTTAATTTTACCAAAACTCAAACCCTATTTAACTATAAGTTTAATTATAAACCAAATTAAAAGTGATTAAAAGTATATATTTCTGAAATGAATGACATATGGATGGAGTGATTGAGTGGTTTGATTGGCGGACGTAATGTATGGACAGAATTGTGGAGTGAATTGATGTCAACGAATGACAACACGTTTTGATTGTTGTATTGATTGACAACAACTCAACCCTCTGTTGACTCACTCTTTGCACTCCAATTGTCACTTGAATTGGTCCGAAATAATGGTCAAACTCTACTATATATCAGTGCTGCACAAGAATGACAACAATCGGGTCATTAACTTGAAGTCGGCGTCAGAGCTGTCGTCGTTTGGCTTCTTTCAGAGGAATAGGTATTCGTTTGCTTTCACTGTCTGTCCACTCATTGATGACATATTAACCCATTTGTCTCTTCACTCCTTCACAGTGTCCTCGAGTTCATGAAATTCACGGCCAAAGTATGCGTCGAGCGGTCGGAAAAGGCCACGCGATCCTCCATTAAACAACAGGGTATTTGTTTGGGCCAACTCTTGGCCTTAGAGGCCACTCACGAGTTGCCGATTGATATATGTATTTGTTATTTGTTTTGCCGACAGAGTATTTGTGTCACGTTTACGTGCGATCGGATGGTCTGTCGGGAGTGATCATCTCAGACCACGAGTACCCGCATCGAGTGGCGCACACCCTCTGCAGCCGAGTGTTGGACGAGTTCGCAGAAACGGTTCCTTCGCATTCCTGGCCGACCACTCTTGACAAGTAAGACAATGACCCGATTTGTTGTTGATTTGATTAACTAATGGATTGATTGTGGGAACAGTTCGGCGCCGTTCACAGCTCTGGAGCCGTATTTAACTAAATACCAGAACCCGAAAGAAGCGGACGCTATGACTAAAATACAGGAAGATTTGGATGAGACAAAGATTATACTCCACAATACG